TGTTTTTTTGAGTTTTTCTCTTCAAGTGATTGCTATATTTATACAAACGTGGTATTTCATTGTGTGGTTTGTGTTTCTTTTGGTTTGTTTATTGGTTGATTCATGTCGACACAATGATTCTAATAGTGATATGCTGTGCAATTGAGGCTTGAAATATTTTTTTTTCTCTTTTGGAAAAAATATCAATGGAATAAGAGAGATATCAGTGTAATGCAAGCAGATTTTTATGTTTTTATGTGAAAGAGCTACTATTCAAAACAGTCAATAACAGTATACCCAACGTGTAAGCGTCTGAATACTATTGGTATACAACGGTTCTATTACATGTTCTTGCACCAGTTGGCGCTTCTGGGCTCATTTATATGAGAACTGTCAAGAAGGCGCAGTGTCGAAAAAACCTCTCAAAAATATTCCAAAATGTGTACAATATAATAAATTTGCTAAGAATAATATAGAAAATACTTCAAATTTATTGAATAAACAAAAATAGTTACGGTTTTTATGATTGAATACACAAAAAATTGCGAAAGAAATTTTTTTTTGAAGGTGGCCGAATACTTTTTTGACTGACTGTATATGATTTTTGTACTGCAGATGCGATGAAAAAACGCAACGCATAGAATTCAGCCGCTGAGCCAGCCAGAATGTTTTCAGTTAGCTAGCTGACATTAGCCAAATACATTCTCTGAAAATTACCATTGTACAAACACAAAAAGATCAGGTTTTTCACGACTCTTGGAGTCGTTTTCCTGCAAACCAAAATATTCAGCCAGTTTTTGGCGGTGTGAAATAAATAAATAGTAAATGGAGATGTGTTTCTCGCTATTCTTTATTTGTAACAGATTTACTGTCATATGGAATTAATGGAACGCTACAACCACATCTATCAGCACGTAGAGTCTGTAGTCTATTAATTGATTTTGTACGATTGATCACATCAGCCAAACGAAAAATGCTAGAGCAACGTGAGCTTTTTTATAAAGTAGCTACAGTGGTCGCCCCACCCGATAACTGCGTTCTTAAGAAAGAAATTGAGATGAATCGAATTCAGCAGAGAGCAGCCCGTAAACGTGTTGTTAATAGTCAAACATTTTCACTATTACCAGGTAGAAAATGTCTTCATTTAAATCGAAGAATTATCTTTTTGTAGTAGGATAATACTAATTTTTCATAATTGCAGGAAAATTGGATCACGCAACGGTCGTAGCAGTAAGAGTACCGTCAGTGTCAGAGAGTATGGCGCGGAATGATGAATCAAATTTTGTCGAAACAAACTTTTAAAAATCTCATTTTAAACACGGACCAGTTCAACGGATGCCAACTTTTGACAGTTCCCATTGTTAGAAATAGCAATCGAAATGTAAATGATCTTAAGATGTAACATGAAGTTTGACATTTGACAGATGACTTGACTTTGACTTTTGATTTATCAATAAACGCTCTTCTTGTTATTACACTCAAACCGACTGGACGTGTTTCAATATTCAAAGCCATAATTTTTGTCAGGTTATGGGCCCAGAAACGACGAAAAAGCAAAAATATTAGGAGAATTGTCAAGAAATATCATCAGTGAGTATTTTTGTCGACCGAATTTCCGTGAAGATTTTGTGGTCGCTGCGATTTGAATCGATTGAAAATTGTCGCGTGTTGAGCTGTGTTTTGAAGCAAACGAACGAACGAACGAAAATGAGTACCGCCGACGAGAAATGTTCCGTAACGCAATTGAGAGAGCAAAAGCAATGGTTACCGTGGAAATTTCAAGTGAGAATTTGGCTTCGTGCGGCTGAAAGAACTGTGTCCCGTTTTGGGCCATTGGCGTCTAGCAATGAGACCGGTACCAATGGATAGGGGGCAGCGAGTATAACAATAATATATGGGTGACACAGCCCTAAGTTGTGTGCGGGAAAAGTTGACTAAATGTCTCATACAACAAAAACCTGATCCGATCACTCCAAAGACTGTAAAT